TCATTTAAAGCAACAAAACTTTAAGATTCATATCCAGACTGTGGTGGCCTGGCTTTCCTTCTCTGACTGGAGAGATTTAACTTCTTTATCATGAGATAAAAGAAGATCCTCACAAAGCTTGATGACCCTATTACTTCATCTTAAATGCTGGATATGAGTAAGATCACAATAGGACTTGTATTAAACATGCATATGCTGTAAGGAGTTAAAAGCAGATCTGTCTGTATTCTTATATGAATTAAACCATTAACACTGCAGTTTTTAATGTTTTTCTTTATAAATTTTGTAAGTAGAAGCCCCAATAGGAACATAATTTATGTAACACAACTTACACATGTGAAATTAGAACACGATCCTTAATATTACTGTTTTTTTCATGATCAGTACTGTTTCAGTTTAGACTGTGAGGTGTACTTTGCTTTGGCAGGCCTAAATAATCTCTGAATTCTGATAACTAATTATTATGTGAAACTTCTGAAAAGGCAACTTTCAAAAGTTGCAAGCGAAAGTCAACTTTCTGGGCATGCAATTCTCTTGTGAGGAAGAGGGTTGGAAATAGCTTGTGCTGATCCAGTCCTTGCACTTCCATTCCAAAGCTGTCAGTTCTAAACTGGCTTTGTTTTGCCCTGTAAATCACAACCTTTTTTTAGCACATTATGAAGAAGAAAATTGTTTAACATTATGTATTGTATTGACTGATTCAATAATTTGAAAACCAAAATAAATTCCCCCAAAAATAAATAAAAAAACACCCAAGGGACCTTGGCATTGAGATATATGCATAGTTAAGTGCTAAACACTGCATTAAAATTTATTGTGAACAGATAACTAGAACCTGGAAATGTATTAGGAAATTATTATAAAGAATAAAAATATAAAGCTTATAGAAAACAAAGACAAAAGCAGTTTTTAAAATCCTGTGAGCTGCTAATAGCACTACTTAAAGCCGCTCAGGGTCTTTCTCTCTGGTCAGTGGAGTACACCCGAACCCCAGAGTAGCTCTTCCCCATATTTAAGGATGTAGGTCTTTTGTTTAATCTTTTCATGTTGGGATAGAGCCAATACAAAGATTTGGAAGCTGGGAACCACCTGTGTGTCCTGTAGTTTCACTGTAGCCAAATAAAGATTAGCCAACAAGAAATTGTGCCTGTTTTGTCCATGAAAGGAGCTTTCAGATGGGGAAAAGTCACTGCAGATGCCTGTGATGGAGGTGTTGCTGCAGGGAAGCATCCTACAAAGCTTCACTTAACAAAGCCCCACTTAATTCACAGATATAGTATTGGGGATTTAGTTAGCCCTGGGTAGTGTAAGAGGGGACTGAGTCAAATTTCAGTCTTATTCTTCATTCTGATGCCAGTGGCCTTTTGACCCTGAGACATTTTTAGCCTTCATTGCTTTCTCCTTTTTTTACACTAATAAAATGGGGTTTCTCTAGCCAACACAGGGAAGTGTCAAATGAAAAGCAGCATTTTGCTTAATTAGTGAAATTTATTCTGTGGCTGCATCTAGTAACATTAATCACTTACTGAGCATTAAATTAAAGTAAAAACTGCAAATCTGCTTTCATGTAAAAGGAATGCATTGGAGGGGACCTATTCACCTCAAGTGCTGCTTAAAAGCTATAAAAAGCATTATAAAATTTGTACAAGATAGCATGAATAACATCACTTTAGAAACAAGTTCCCAATAAACATTCCTGTTCGATTAAGCTGGACCTGGGGGTTAAAGTTCTTTGTGACTATTACTTAGAGGACTGGTAATTGCCTGGTTAATGATGTTATACTTTGCTCATTTGAGTGTTGAATATCAAATAGTGGAACTAAAGCTGAAGTTTGCCCTGGTGAGCTTGAAAACTCCCTGCAAGCTGCGCAACATGCTTTGAATTCACTAAACAGAATTATTTTCCATGAGTAAATATAAAGAAAGGAGACAAGGCTGTAATTAAACCCATCAGTTTCTCAGGCTGGGGGGTAGTTGCATTTGAGAAAACTTGTCTCTATGTAATTCTAGATTATGGCACACACTTTTTTTGTGAGGCACCAGTCTTGTCAGTGTAGCTCCTATTCCTCCAACTACGTGACCATGCATTTGGAAAGGTACCATCGAGAGTGGTAGGGCTCCCTGGGGAAAGGACACAGAGGGCTGCATCTAAAGTCTGAGAGGAAGGTGGAAATGAAACAGAAATTTCACCAGGTCTGAAAACTAAATGTCCTCTTCCTGCTTATGCAGCCAAAGGGCTAACAAAGGCTGTGCAGTCAGTGTAGGTGACACAGCTGTGGTTTGCCCAAGGGCATGTGTTGAATCGGGCTGTCTCACATCCTGCCATTACTGATGCTGGCAGCTCTGTGCTGCTGGGACCGGCTGGGCTGCAACATCCTGTTTATCTTGCCATGTTTTTAACTACAGTATCAATTAGTATTTGTGGGAGCCAAAAAATATTGGACTCACTGCATCTTGCTATTAGGTCTCTATAAGTAGATGTTTCTACACAAAGAATATCCCTTTGCTGACTGTGGCTCATCTAACTGATGGAAAGCAGCAGTAGGTTTTGTATATTCCTGTCAGATAAATTTCACTTGCCAATCAGTTTATGGAACAGGTGGTTGTCAGTAAATGCAGGACATCTTGTACTTTGTTCTCTGCTCTTTTCTGCTTTGCTCCCAGTGTTGCTACCTTGTCTGTTCTTACTGATTGTTCTGGCTCTGCTTGTGATTCTCTGCGGGGTGGTCCTAAATCTGGGTTTGCTTTCTCTGTTAACTTTCTGCTGGCTTAGTGCATCAACTCCACTTACATGGAGGTCAACTGATAGTCAAGGCTGGCAGATAGAAGAGGAGGAGTGGAAATTATGAAAAAATAAGCAGATCTCTTCCATTGGTAGCAAGCTGCTGTGCCTCCTCACTTTAATGAAATCACACTTGGAATAGTGAAAATTATAGGAGGGGTGAGAGAGGACCTGGAACTGCTGGTCTCAAGTGCTAACTCAAAAGTAGTAATTTTTCCTTCTGTTCCTAGACCTCTCATTCCCTTTTATCAACCCTTTTTCCTCCTACTGATGTTTCATTAAAAACAATACTTTCTCAGTCATAAATAGCTAAAATATGAAATTAATGAAGCAGGGTTCACTCTTAGTCAAGATATCTCATCAATAAATTAGTGATTGCTCTGGGAAAGAAACTTGGAGCATAGTGAATGGTGGGAATAATAAAAAGGAAGAGACCAGAAGAATGAGAAATGGAGAAGGTAATGTGTCTGTGCTTGCAGCAAGTGCAATGCTGAGAGAAACAAGTGAGAAGTGTGTGCACTACTAAATGCAGGGGAAAATTATGCAAACCAGCCCAAGAGCTGAACTGGTGGAGAAACAATGGAGAAATAACTATGTGGTTATGAATCAGTAACTGATGTTTTTTATGTTATGGATGAAACAGCTCCAGTATTGCCAAAATCATAATTTAAAAATTGCACAGTGGGAAAAATCGTCACTCTCATCTTGTTGCTCTAAATTTTTATTTGATGCACTTCAGAAGAAAAGTGGTTTTTTTTTTAGAAATAAGTCTAAATGAGGAATGTCTTAATGCTAGTTTTATTTCTCATAAATTTAGTCTCGTTTTACTAGGCCATTTCTTACTGCCTTAGCCAGGTGATGCTGCATACTTTACATGTGTGCTGTGCTCTTGTTTGTAGCTACAGATTTATCATCTGTGCCATCACATTTTAGTATTAATAATGTGCATTTGTAGGTTCAAACAGACCATAGACCATCTGATGATGCGTTGTGTACAAAGCAATGAGCTGACTGATTTTACTGCTGTCTTTTGGGGAGATCATTTCAGGAAAATGCTGAATGTTTGTTTTTGCCCACTTCATCCTGAGTTGGGACTATGGACACTGCTTCCCCTGCAAGATGGCAGATATTTGCTAATCAAATGTTCCTCTGTTGCTTCAGGAGTTCTGATACTGCACTTTTGAGAGGCAACGTTGTGCTCAAGGATGAGTCATCTTTTTAAAGAAAACAAAAAAATCTAGAAGCCAGCAACCCTGTGTTTTCAAAATTAATTATAAATACGGTCCCAAAATATTTTCCCATGCAGTCTTGTTGTCTCAGCATAATTCTACTCTGTGCATGACACACAAGCAGCCTGAGATTTTGTTTCTGCAAGACTGCTTTTTATTACTAACGTCAGCAGAAATGCTGATGCTGCTTCACCCAGAACCTTCTCCATTCCACTTATTTACATTCTCTCTGCATCACTTTCTACTTCAAGCTCTTAGTTTCCAATGTATTCCAACTGCCTTGCCTAAAGTATTGATAACTAACCTCAAATCAAAATGATTTTTGTTTTTGGCCATGAGGGCAGAGACTTAATGAATCCAGAATCACTTAAACTCTTGCCAGAGGTGGCTCTGGAACATGATAGAGCAGAGACTAAAGTCTCCAGTGCAGTTAAATGAATTATGACCATGGTTTGTATATTATCATATGCAAAATATTGGGTAGATGTTGTAGCAGAAATAGACTGACAGCAGGTACAGCAGTAACTTTCAGTCACCAATGGGTTGAGGTTCCCTTTGCTTGTTTTTTGTTTGTTTGTTTTTGTTGATTGCTGGGGTTTTGTTTGTTGGTTTTGGGTTTTTTTGCATTGGGGGTATTTTTGTTATTTTTTGAAATGCAACATTTTATGTATTTTTTTGTATTGTTTGCTCTTCTTTTTGGGAATGGCTATTTAATAGGAAGTAGTAAGGGATTCTAGAATACAACTGTGTCTCAAATCTGCAGTTAGCCTATATCTAATGGATTGCTGATAAAACAAGAAAAAATGTGCTTGGTGTATTTAATAGTTAAAATTTATCTGGCAAAATATGAGTGTTCTGAAGTACTTCAAAGCTTCAATCTTCTGTTGAGGATCATATTTTGGTGGATTTTTTTGGAGAAGAGGGAACAAAATCCATTTAAAGTGGTTGTCTAGTCTTAGTACAATGTAGTATTCCTGTAATTTTTCTAGGGGTCGCCTCTGTTTGATCTTATCAAGCAGTCAAAAGAACGAGAAGGCCAAACTGATCAGCCTGAGACCACTTCTACTCCCAATACACCTTTGCAACATAATCACACTGCTGCAGATCTGTAAGTGACATGCATTCCTGAGGTCTAGGAAAATGTGAAGTTAATATCACCCTTAAAATTTAAATTCACCTCTATTCTGTTTTCCTGCTTGTTAGGCTTGGTACTTAGGTTTTGTTAAACTGTTGTATTTGCAGATGTTAATTACTCGTATAATTTAAATCAAATGCTGAAGTCTGTTTTTCTAAGACCCATCAAACCTGTAACTGCAAACTGTTATCTCATTTGCCTAGAATAAATAAGTCCCTGTATCAGGTATTACGGATAACAGGTTGCAATAGCAATTAATTTCTTAAGGAAGAGTTCCTGCAAGTATTATTCATATAAAATTGTTCTTTTATCCTGTGATGTTAAGTGCTTAATATATGTTGAATCTCCAGCTATCTTTCTCCTGTGAGATCTCCTAAGAAGAAAGCGTCTGGACCTCCTCCAAGTGCTAATTCCACTCCAGATGCTCAATCTGGTGCGACCCCGCAAACACAGAAACCACAAAAATCTACCTCCCTCTCTCTGTTCTACAAAAAAGGTTTGTTGCTTCTGTATGTGCTGACATTTGCGAAGTTATCTCATGTTATTTATCCATTTTGGTGCTCAAGATTTCTTAAAAGATTATTGTAGAATCTGGAGTGAACAGTGTGCAGACCCTCTGGAGGAAAATGGTGCCAGCAGGTTAATGGGTGTGCTCTGCACACTGGAAGTTTGAACTGAAAACTTACCTACTGACTGTAAGAATGTCCGTATGGGCTCAGATGGAGGGTTCTTCTTTTGCCAGCAGTGACCATAAATAGGTATCCCGGGAAGCTGAAGAACTGGGCAAGCATGGACAGTGCTTCCCCTGAATGCTTTCCCAAGCTTTGACTTTGTCCAGCTCGGGTTTTTTTCTGAACCTTTTGCACTGTGTCGGACTAGTAATTCTCAGCAGATTCATGTTTCAAATGCTTGTTCAGGCTCTTTTTGAATTGACATAGACATGCATGTGCAGCATTGTTTGGTGTGGCCTTCCATATGTCCGCTGTCTCTTGTATGAAGAATCTTTTCCATTTATTTTAAAGCTGGCTTTTACTACCTTCATTTGATGTCTTGTACTTTTTGTAGTTGGAGACAGCAAATGTTCAATTGCTGTCCATCCTCCATTGCATTCTTATTTTGTATGCCCCTATTATTACAATTCCAGTTTATTTTTCCTCTCTGTTTCTGAAGTGTATCTTCTGGCCTATCGTCGGCTGCATACCCTGTTCCTTCAGCTTCTCTCCGAACATCCTGACCTGGAACCCTTGATCTGGACACTCTTCCAGCACACACTGCAAAATGAGTATGAGCTAATGAGAGACAGGCACTTGGACCAGGTAACATGAACAAAAAAGTTTCGAAAAGCTTAAAAAGACTCTCCTGAACAAAATGTTTCTTGGACATTCTTTAGCCATTAGAAATTGTACACTGAGTTTTTATTTTTCTGTTGATCACTGAGAGGAGAACTTAATTTAGACTGAAGTCTCTCATCTCAGTTTTTTAAGCACTGGCAGTTACTCACTATGGCATTGTCAAATACCATTTTCATCTATTTTCAAAATAATGAAGACACACCACAATTTCTAATAATTTGCATAAGAAAATAATGATTTTCTTTGGGAAGACAACATGGGTGGCTGATAAATGTTTTGTTATTCTACTCTAAAATTGCAACGTGTGAAATGAGTTTTAGAAGATACTATCAGCTCCAGTTAGTTGATTGTCATACAGAAATAGAGGTAACAGTAGTTGACTTACGTTCTGGGAGTTCTTATGAAGTTGAATTGCAGGCTAGTTTACAGAACACTAACAGTAACAGAAAGCTTATTTCTTAACTTGAAATGACGAAGCTGATTTCATTTTCTGCATTTTCAGTTGTCTTGTCTTGTTTCTTTAATAGATCATGATGTGTTCCATGTATGGCATATGCAAAGTAAAGAATATAGATCTTCGATTTAAAATAATAGTTTCGGCATACAAGGAGCTTTGCAACACAAATCAAGAGGTATGGAAGTTCTTAAACGTTACTCCTCCATAAAAATGTTATAAACTAATTCTTGCTCTCTGAAATCAAAATAAAACAAACTACACTTGAACATACAAAAGGAACTTCTGCTTCACTGCATCTCCATTTTGTGGAGGAGAAAACGGACTCTAATACTAAATATATTTTTTAAAGATTTTTTAAAGATTTATTGCATAAATTAAACTTAATTCCATTTTTTTAAAGATACTAAATAATGGTTTATGATTTTATTTGGAGACTAGATGAAAGATTTATGTGTAGAGCTAATAGGATTTTCAAAAATAACACAAGTTCCTTTAGGAGTTATCTAACTTCCCATGGAACATTAAGGGAAGAGAAGCAGATAACTTTCTACAGAAGCTTTCAATAGAAATACGGTTTGATTTGAAATAGAGATGTATGGTTATATATCAAACAGCTGAGTATGAATTAAAGTTGCAGGCTTAATTCTAACATTAAGAAGTTTCTTTCTTCATAGGAGCTTTCATGTACTGAAATTTTTGCACAACACAATAATTAAATCAATAGAAAAATCCTCACCAGTTAAAGGAACTGTAGGCATCCTTTGAGTAGCAGAGTTTCTCATAGTGTATTTGTGGATCTTGGCTAAACTCCAGACTTTGTCTCCAAGCCTATAGAACTATTTTATCCACATCAGGTCAGTAATGAGTTTTTTTAGCCTTCCAAGGCATGCACAGTAGTCTAGACATTTTGACACGTGTGTGCGTGAAAGTAAAAGGAGCTTAAATTTGGAAAATGTTAGAACTGTGTTCGCACTAAGGGACTGTGCCAGCTAATGAAGTAGATGTACTGGTGTTCATACATGTTTGGGAAAAAAACCTAACAGTTTAGAACAGTTCTAAATAGTAGGTACAATGGCTTGCACACAGTCCACATGCCATCCTAGCTACTATCTAACACAGACTTTATGAATAGTTTTATAAGTTTGTCAAATGTAAAATTTTCATTCCTTTTTTTTATAACTTGTGTATGATTTTCTCACCCTATGTAGACTTTTAAACGTGTTCTTATCCGGGAAGAACAATATGACTCCATTATAGTCTTTTACAACTTAGTGTTTATGCAGAAGCTGAAAACAAACATTTTGCAGTATGCTTCCAACAGGGTAAGCCATTAGCTCTGTTCATTATTCAATAGACTAGAAATATATGGACAATAAAACCTTACGATTATTTTATTATTCTTATAGCCTCCTACTCTGTCACCCATCCCACACATTCCTCGCAGCCCTTACCAGTTTTCCAACTCTCCTCGGCGTGTCCCTGCTGGCAATAACATCTACATCTCACCTTTGAAGAGCCCATACAAATTCTCTGATGGATTTCAGTCACCCACAAAGATGACTCCAAGGTCAAGGTAGGTTGTTGACAAGCATTTCTTTGACTAAATTAAAGGTACTTGGGGGATTTTAGTGGAAGCAAATTAGAAAACTGCAGTCTGTTTTCTCAGTAGTCTGTGGCTGTTATATCTTTTCTGGTTAAAAGCTTGTGTCCTCTATTTGAAACCTTTATTCATTTTTGAGGGCTTTTCTGTTGTGCTCAAGGAGGTTTTTGTTGATTGTTTTTTCCCTTTTTTTTTTACGCCCCCAGAGAGGAATTTCCTGACCTAGTTGCTTAAATGTTGTTGGCTTTGACTCTGGATCACACTCCTGAAAAACAGATGAGCTTTGTAAGCTTGTTCAAAGGGAGAATACTTTTTTGGAACAAAGTGTTTATTTAGTTGGCTGAACAGAACATTTCAAAGTGTTGGTCAGTAGTTCTTAGTGGATGAGGATGACAGCAAATGTGCCAGTTTTCCAATGGCTTTTCAAACTAGGATCAAGTGAATCCCAGTGCATCTGGCCCACTGTGTACCAAAGTTTAAATGTTACTTTGTATTTCAGGTTGAAGTCCTGCATGGTTTTGATTAGCAAACACTTAAAGGTAAAGATGAAAGGATGATTGTCTGGGTACCCAGCACACAAGGGTCTTCCTGGTGATAAGGGACAGACTATGGGGTTCTCTGGTTCTTTTAAGCCACAATTTCGTTTCTGTCTGTGTAATACAGTTGATTTGGTGATTCAGCATTCACTGGCCCAGAGAAAAATATCTCACTGCAGTAAAGCACAGTATGAGTTTGCACTGTTAATGCACAGAGTGAGGAAGGGACCATGTTAATGCCTCGTGCTAAGCTCTGCAAATTAGTTGATGCTTCTGTCATTGTTAAATGTAACTTAATCTTAAACACTTCTCTTCTTCATTTGGCAGAATTTTGGTGTCAATTGGAGAATCATTTGGGGTGAGTTTTAACATGTTTAATGTCTGGTCTTAAATGTATGTAACTTTTGGAGGAATGAGACAACCTGCTCACATCTCTGGAACTGGCCAGTGAGTGTGTCTAATTAAATGTAGTAATTACGAGAAAGTTCTTTTAACTCCTTCTAAATATCCAGATGCACTTTTAAAATGTGTTGCAGTTTATTTTAAGTTGCTGTGGCAGAAGCCAGAGTTCTTAAAACTCCACAGAGCTTTAGAACTCCTAATTTTTTTAGTGGATAATCAGGAAAGTTGGAATCGTTTCAGGATTCATTGGCAATTCTTTCTCTGTTTTCTTGTCGCTTCAGACTTCTGAAAAGTTTCAAAAAATAAACCAGATGTTGTGCAACAGTGACGGCCAGCTGAAGCGCAGTGCAGAAGTAAGTGCTGCTCCGAAGCCACTGAAGAGGCTGCGCTTTGATATAGAGGGGCAAGACGAAGCAGATGGAAGGTGAGATTGTCCTTGGCTTTTCAGTAATCTTACATATATTTAGTTCTTGGGGCCTTCCGTCCTAACTTCTTCGCAACATCCTGACTTGTGTTAATTTGTGAACTTCAGTAACTGTATTAAATGAGATGGTAGCATCATGCTTCTCAATTAGATGCTTTGATGTCAGAAGTGAAGGATTTATTCAGCGCTTGTAAGAGAAGGCAATAACACTGAAATGAACTAACCTTAATTTGAAGTTTAGGTTACAAGGATAAAGAGGTATTTTTATTGACTTAATCATATGGTTTCTGTCTTCAGCAAACACCTACCCCAGGAGTCCAAGTTCCAACAAAAGCTTGCAGAAATGAGTGAGTATTATTTTCCTCATAAACTGCACAGCAGTGAGTGCCTTGGATAGAACAGTTTGGGCCCACTCAGATGAAAATGTTGCTCAACACTGATGTAATTTGGGTAACTTGCTTGGGTTTTTTAAAAATGCAGATTACAAAATGGAAATTTACGTACACAGGAAAATCATTCATGTAGTTTTGTTTGTTGCTTTGCTGTCTTTTATACTAAAATGTCTGAATGCTTTTTCTTCTACTGTGGATCAGCATTTCTTTCAGTTTTATGGGATCAGTTTTCTGTTTTTTCAAATGAAACTCAGATCTAGCTCAGGGAAAGCAAATCAACCCCATCCCCACATGAGTTGTATTTTCTGCTCCCAAGAAGGAGCACACTTGGTCTGGCCAGGCATTCTCACTGTCTAGTGGAATCTGAGCTCTGTAGCTGAGCAGATTTGCCCATTAAAAACTCTTACCTTGCTCGTCAAGATAGGTATGAGTGTGGATCTGGGCACCTCTCCTTTATTTTAAGGTAGGGGAAATGTTTCAGTGTTTACTTGTGTCAGAGGTTAAGAAGGAAGAGTTCTATCTCATGTCCGGTGGTGTTAGTGTGTGTCACTGAGGGGAAAAGGCATTTCCTGGCCAGCTGGCTTTGGGATGTGGGCACTGCTCAGCCCACAGCATCTGCCTGGCAACAAAGCAAGATTCCCTGTGCGATACAGACCATCTGCCCACCTCGAGGATGCAAACGGACACAGTGAGGGTACAGAAACAATGAGAGCTTGAGTAAACAGGTGGAAGAAATTTTCTAAGATGTGTAAGATTTAGCAAGAATTGCTGAAGCAATGCAGAATTAGGTATTTATTTTACAATGAGGGATTTGGTTTATTTAGAATTCAGAATAGTGTACTTCTATTCCATGTGTCATTACAAATTTTTACAATAATCAGTCCAAAGTAATTATGAAGAAAATGATTTCATTTCATTCTTTTTGGTTTTGGGTTTTTTTTGTAGCATCTACTCGAACAAGAATGCAAAAGCAGAAGCTGAATGATGGAAATGATACCTTAGCCAGTGAAGAAAAGTGAGATTATTCTCAGGACCAGGGGCTGCACTGCCAGCCCTCTTAGATTGTTTTTGTTTTACAGCCTTCATTAATAGAGTTGCATTTTTAGTTGCTTTTTATTCCAAACTGCTAGTTTGAAAGCATTTGTATTTTTTAAATTGTTAAATGTCTTTCATGATACCTTTATCTTATTATGTAGCATATATACAATATAAGCCACTGAATTTAATTTATATATATTTTTGAGGGTTTTAAAAACAGAGTTGCAAGGTTTCTGAATTTCCTGTTGTAGCGTTACTGATATAAGCCAATTCAGTCTCCTTGGATTGAATTCTTTCTGCCTAAAGATGAAACGTTAGCTAGTATGATATGAAATGCACTAATTTTGTTTCTTAGATTTGAATTTTAGATTTTCATTACTTGCGAATTTTTAAAATGAGGGGCCAGATACTGCAAAGATTTCTGTCTCTGTACGTAACTAGCGCATCAAGTTCCCGTTAATTTAAACTGGACAGCAGTCATAGGCCTTGCGGAGCGTGGGCCTCGCCTCAGAAGTACAGCCTAAATTCAAAGTGAAATCATTACGCAGCCGTACTACTGAAACCAGTACTTGGCATTTTGCAGTTTTCCATTGTTATTTCAGAGGGCAGTTAGACTGTCCATCAGTTTGAAGTTCACAAAATATGATTCTCACAGAGATTCATCCCAGAATCCTACAGAGAATCTTCCCAGAAGCTGAAGCCTCTTCCCATATGCAGAGTAATTGATGTGCACTTTCTTACCTTGGAAAATCTCAAAAGAAAAAACAAACAAACAAACAAACAAACCTAAACCTCACCTGGTACACATAAGAATTCAAAATTCTAATAATGTAGAATTTTCTTGATTTTTCTCAAATTTTTACCTAACTGTAGCCAAGCAAAACAGCTTGAGAAGCAGCTGAAGGCTGAATGACTCCATTTGGGTTCCAGGTGGGAGTAGCCTGAACTCTAAAAGCACAGGACATCTCCTGTTGGCCTTACTGCAGCCTGCACAGAAGCTGAATGTGGTGAACTCGTGTTGGGAAAATCAATCTGCCTTATTTTACTGAAAAGGCAGTTAATTGGGCAATTTGTGAATGGTTGCAACTAGCAAAAAAAAAAAACAACTCAACTGTTTGTCATCTTTTGTATTTGTAAGTTTCTGATTCAGATACTGGAATTTTTCTTTCAATGACCAAGCTTTGTAAAATACACATAACAAAAGCACATTTTTTACTTCCAGTAGATTAAAATATAAGCAAATGTTTTGCTTTAAAATGACCAATTTTTATGGAATTTAGCTTTTGCAGCTACTTAAATTAAGAACAGTTACAGTAGAAAAGCATGGTGTTCATGACGCAAACGTTCTAAACCAACATCTTCTCCAAGTAGCTTATTTACAGGTTGTTTAGCTGACCTTAGAGTACTTACAGTAGCATTTTTTTTTAAAGATCCATTCGAAGCTAATCCTAGAGCTACTAAAAATTCTACGAGCAGCACACTGATGTTGATATGGTTTGAAGCTGGCTCCCTGCCAAGTCTCCAAACCTTACCACCAGAAGTCCCCCCCCCCAACAAACAAAAAAAACCTCAGGGAGAAGAGGGAGAAAAAACTAAGAAAAACCCGAAAAACGAGAGAGAGGACAACCAAACTGATATATATAAATATATTTACACTTATATACAATTTCACAAGGGAAAGGGAAAGGGGAAGGGGAAAAGGAACAAAACTCAAATAAAATATATATATATATATATATATATCCCAATCAGTAGCCCGAGATCTAGTAACTAAAGAACAAAAGAGTTAGCAAAGAAGATATCTCACTACTCTCCTGGGACAACCGAGAGTCGCTCCGGAACGATCGCCGGCAACCTCTGTCTCCCAAGGTCGGCAAGGCCTAGCCAGGCCTCGCTCCCCAACACGGCAGACTCAACAGCAGGGAACCTGCACCTCCAAGCCGCCGGAAGGAAAGAGAGCGAAGGCCTCTCCTCCTCTCTTCTTATAGTCTGGCTTACGTAAAAATCGTAGGGAATACTGGGTAAATCTGGACCCTTCCTTGGTTACAAACTGGTCACCAAGGAAGGCCTAGCCCAAACCACCACAGATGTGTAAATGAATTTTAAAATAATATTGAGGGGTTTTTTAGACTTAGTACAGCTTCAGCTTTCTTCCTGAAAAATGTACAGAAGTTTTAAGAGTACCTTATGTTTATTTTCTCACTTTTTGCAGAGTTTTACAGAAAGAATGTATCTTAGCATTGGGGTACACTGACTTAAGCTCTGTCAGTGTCAGCTCTGTTACAGTAGTCAGGGTTCTTCCTTTGGTGAGGGGAAGAATACAGAGTCCAGTACCTAAACAGATTCATTATTTCTTTACTGTGACAATGTATTTTTTTTGTTCAAACAGACTGAAGGCTTTACATGAAAAGTATGATAATATTTTATAAAACTAATCAGTTTCTCTCCTTTCAAGATAAATAAAATAGCTTTTAAAAGATGTATAGTCAGTAGTTTTCTTTTACTAGATGGGAAGGTGACTTCATATGGTAATGATGTCCTCCTGTATCACACCATGACTCTGCAGCTGAGACAAGCAGAGGTCACTCCATCTCCAGTGATTATGTTTGGGTACAGAGGTCCAAAGAGTTGCATGTTTGGGCTTGTGGTTACCTTCAGAGGCTTCCATAGGATGTTCTGGAAATAGTCTTACCAGACCTTGTAGCAGGGTCACTGTTGGTAATGCTGGCAGATGCAGGCCTGTAGCATCTGGGTCATTGTCATGGCCCTTGCATGGTCCTTCAGGAGGTTGATGTCTCATCTAGAAACGTTTCCATCATGAGCTGAGGAAGGTTTAGGTTGGATAGCAGGAAAAGATTCTTCACCCAGAAAGTGGCTGGGTACTGGAACAGGCTCCCCAGGGAAGTGGTCATGGCACCAAGCCTGCCAGAGTTCAAGAAGTGTTTGGATAACACTTTCTGGCACATGGTGTGACTCTTGGGGTGTCCTATGCAGTTCCTGGAGTTGGACTCAATGATCATAATGGGTCCCTTCCCACTCAGCATATTCTATGATTTCACCACCCTGCTTTTCATAAGCAATTCCTTTGCTTTAAAAACTGCTGGAAATAGCCAGGATACCAAGCTCCAGTGTCAGCCACCATGGCTTTGGTGTCTGGCTGTGGGCACATCAGCCTCACAGGCTCCCCATCCCTGCTTTTTTAGAGTCCAGAGGTGCTTGTGACTCATGACACTGCTGAGCATGCAGGGCTGTTTATAGCATCAGTGTTCAGGACAATGCTTAGGGCACAAAGTGCACTGGCTAGCTTGCCAGTTCCTGCCTCCTCAAAAAAAAGCATTTTCAGTCTTTTTTTTAAACAGATACATATGCAAATAAGCATATGGAAACTAATGGCTTTTTATCAGATATATGGAAATCTTACCATTTTACAGCACTTTTCTTAGAGCAAGACCTTGTACTAAAAATGGCTTGGAGTATTGAAACTGTGTTCTAGGAAAAAAGAAAATTAGGATTCACAGCAGAAGAGTTGGACAAAAAATGTGATGGGCATTTCAGGTACCTAATAGCATGCGTTGCACCACTGGTCAAATGATAATCGCTGTGGAGAAACATAAATTTTTGGAGAAAATATGTCCCTGCCTAAAACTTACATGTAAGATCAGGTCAGGTGAATTGGATCTTGGAAAGGTTTGTTTCTGTCCATTGATGCTTAAAGGAATTTAATCTATTGGCTTGGCTGTGTAGCCATCTGAAGACTGATGAGCTGATTCCTAGCCTCTTCATTTGCTGTTCTATACCTTCATCTCTTCCTGTTGTCCACTGTTTCCAAATGAATGCTGTTTGCTCTTACATGTCACAGGAACTTATTTCTTCCTCACTGCATTCGACTTGCAAGTGAAGAATTTTGTGCTTAGGCAGTGCTAGTCCAGAAGGGCTTTAGTAAAGAGCAAGTTCCTCACAGGTGCGGGAACAGCCATGGGAATATGTAAAACTGCACATTTTCAAGTACAGGAGTGGCTGAAGGAAGAAACCTGTGTTGAATGTGAAACAACTGGAGAAGGTGATGGCTGTGTGATACCAGTACAAAGTACCAGGTGAAATATTTTAAATTGTAACAAGCTGGTCATAATGTGCATTTGCTTAAGAAACAATGATTGGTGTTCTGAGGACCATTTTATTAATCATTAAGTCACTAGGGCATTAATTTCTTTGAAAGGTGGAATACACTTGCATAAATTCTCCAGCTTACAAATGTGTTATCTCGTGATAATGATTTCCTGAAGAACACAAATAGCCTTTAAGGTACCTCTGTGAAATATTATCTAGTTTATTAACTACATAGTCAACTCAGTCTACAAGCATCAAACTTTCTTCATTTTTACTGAAAAGAAAGGAAAAATCCCACTCATACTCTTTTAAATATTATGGCATTTTTATTAATGATCTATTAAACCAGGTAAGTTTATAAAGAAACAAAAATTCAAAACATATCTTTAGATTCAGGCTGTAAACTTTCTACATCATTACAGAATCACAGAATATGCTGAGTTGGAAGGGACCCAAAGGATCATTGAGTCCAACTCCTGGCCCTGCACTGGACCATCTCCAAGAGTCACACCATGGGCCCAGGAGTATTGTCTAAATGCTTCCTGAATTCTGTCAGGCTTAGTGCTGTGACCACTGCCCTGGGGAGCCTGTTCCAGTGCCCAACCACCCTCTGGGTGAGGAACCTTTTTCTAATATCCAACCTAAACCTCCCCTGACACAACTTCAGGCCATTCCCTCAGGTTCTGTCACTGGTCACCACAGAGAAGAGATCAGTGCCTGCCCCTCCTCTTCCTCTCACGAGGAAGTTGTAACTGCAATGGGGGCTCCCCTCAGTCTCCTCTTCTCCAGGCTGAACAGACCAATGACCTCAGCTGCTTCTCATACAGCTTCCCCTCAAGGCCCTTCACCATCTCCATTGCTCTCCTTTGGACAATGATTCCGGCCTCTATGGGGTAGGTAAATGCTTTGTTTTACAAGGAAAGCCCATGGAAATTGTTCAGATCATATAAAAACAGCAGTTTATGTAGTTATCAGGCATTGTAACAAAACTCTACAGCTGGCTACTATATGACAATGCAGTGCTGGCTTGTAGCTTCAGTAACTTAGGAGAACCTTTAAATGACCCTCCCTCTGTAATTTCTTTTTCTTTCAAATTCCATTTGATTCCTTTTCTGCTAAGTGGAACACTGCTCTTTATTTAAATCCCAGACACAGTTTATGCTTGACCATATTTCACACTTTAATAAATACCTTTTGTCTGTGGTATCCTAAAACAGAACAATACTTAATTGTATTAAGTAATTTACCCAGCGAGATCCACAAACACAAGTTTGTTGCAGACTATCTCACAATGGTAAAATGCATCCCTACTTTCTTCTGAAATGTCCCATGGTTAGGTTTCAAGCACATATTTAGATACATGCATCCACATTTAACCACCTAAGTCAGTATGTTTTTTTAAACATTGAGCTTTAAGTGCCCAGGAAAGTGCATGCAACAAAAGTTTAAAAATTAAATAAATAACTGTCTCTAGGAATGTAACATTATCACACCCAGGTCAGATGATACAGATGGTATGTATAAACGGCAACACTGACACACTGAATCTTTAGGATCACCCTCATTCGGTTCAGAGATGCTCTTTCTAAAGATTACAGGCTTTGTCAATTATTCTGACATTGCATCTAGGCTTTAATGTGTACAGTCTTTTGGAAATTATGAGCAGAAAGGAAATAAATTGGAAAAGAATGGCACTATTGTTTATATTAAGCTAAAAATGCCTTGTTTCAAGTAGCACGTCATTTTGATTGCAGTAAGTGTTCAACTACTATGTTATGAACTTGAGTCAATGCAGGAGGGTGGTATCCCTCTCCAGCACTATCATTCCATGGAGTAGTATCTCCAGGGAGCCAGAGAATGTTTTTGATTAGATGTTGAGTCAAAAACCCCATCATTTCATATTTACAGTTTTGGTTTGTTTCTTTAAGTAAAGCAACAGAAATGTCTGCTGAGACCTTTTATAGTACATGTCTTAGGAAGGCTGGAGTGACCACAGAAAGGCCATTACCAGAGGCATGGTTGCCCAGCTGGTTCCAGTTCCCAGTAGACTGGCTGTGTGCCATCATAATGACATCTGTATGGAACAGGGTCTGATGCAAGCTCCTGCCTGAAGGCTGGGCTGTGGTAGTACACCCTCATTCTGTGTGCTGCTACAGCTAAGGAAGTGCTAGGAGGTGAGTCTGGCAGTTCATATGCCCAGAACTGAAAAGGGGAAATTTCAGCCATCCCAGGCTTAACCAGGGATATGCAACCTTGGCTTACACAGGATCCCTTGTGTGTATGCTTTGGTATGATCAGTGCTGGGCTATAGCACACAAGGTTTGCAGTACACTTGTGCCCTACCATGATACTGTTTTACTGTCTGCATTAGCCTCTATTTGTGTACTGGCATCAAGTGCTTTTCAAAACAAACTTGTCAAAACTGATCTCTTCCCCCAGCAAAGTTGTGGTTTTGATGAAACTGCAAAGGATGGACTGGAAAGGTTTTGAGCACTTCTGTTTGAATACAAAATACAGACACAGCTGCTGAAGTATGGACTTACCCTGCTGGAGGAAGTTGTACTAGTCACAGAGGGGGTGGCAGAATTTGCTTGTTAGCCGTAGATGATGCAATATATTTCTAGTGAAAGTCTGAGGCAAATGTCTCAAACACAAGTAAATATTTACCACAACATTTTCAAAAATATTTGATCATGGCCCTCTTCATAAGTAAATCCTGCTGTCTGCATGCTTCACCCTTCCAACTCACACCCATAAGGTCTGATGTGAAGAGGGGCAATACTCATTACTTCTCATCTTCTATTCTGGAGTATGTGCTGCTCCTTTTCCTACTGCTCCTCAAAGAACAGGATTGTTTGAGAAATGAGCCTCCAATACAGTAAAGAACAGTTATTTCTACTTTAGAAATGAGGATGTGATCATTTAAGGGAATTAGTTTCTTAGAAACCACATCTGAGGATTAGAAAAAGTCATTGAAGGATTCAGTGGAACAGCAGTGATCTGCAGGAAGGTCACATGACTGTATTAGTGTACTGAGCCTAGTCATCCAGCTTCTTGTCTTCCCCATTTGTAAAATACTGCAAAAGGCACTTGAATCACTTCACTCAGTCAGAACTTTAAGAGAAATAAATGCTCAGGGTTAATTCACAGTTACGTCTTGGAAAATTCAAGCAAATGCTCCATAAGCTTCACATCTTTTGTAATGGGGCAAACCTTCCTCTGTGCAGCCCTGAGTGGGGTTTTCATCTTAACTCACTTCAGTCAGTTAGAAAAAAAGCATCTACTCTACCTCAGCCATTGCTGATCAGTGATGGGAGAAAGGTATGTCCAGAGGGCAACTCCTCTCCTAAACAGACCTGTTAGCTAGGTGGT